ACCTCAACCCTGAATCCCAAACCCCGACACCGTTACCGTCCTGAACGCACCGCCCTGCTACGCGGGTCTCGTCCTAGCCAAAAGCAATCGCCCTGAGTCATTCTTCACACTCCCGTCGCATGGGCCAGGGCTACCCGGGTGATCAGACCACCGGTCAGTGCAACCCTGAACCAGGCTTCCGGATGACATCGTTGCAGACCTTGTCTCCGCAGTCCAGCATTCACTCAGCTAGGCCAGGCCAATTTGGAATTTGGACCAGTCGTCGAAGGCGCTGGATAGCCGTCGGTGCTTCAGGTTTAGGATCTGCAGTGGGTTTTGACTCAGTTTACACATTGCATAGGGTCGTCTCAGACTCCGGTATAATATTCTCATTAATTCGATGTGGTGGTGTTGAGTTGTACAAGTTTTGGAGTTGTTCTGTCTCCGGCCCAGGGTTGTGGCGTTGCGTTGTCCTCGACATCTGGTGAGCGGGCTACTGAGCGATCCCGAAGCGGCATCCTTTAAGTCCCTTTTCCCTCTTGAATCTCCCCTCATTAGCGACCTTGGTGCAGACGACGATGCAGGCCTTCTACACATTGGGTCCAGCAGCCGCGTGCCTTGACCAAGCTTTGAGAGCCAGAGTCACGGAAGCTTTCGCCTTTCAGGGGATATACTACCTTTCAGGCCATGGGAGCCCCCAGCGCAGGTACTGGCTCCCGTGTGGGACAATGAATCATGAGCACGATGATGGCGGTGTTGCTGATGACGGTGCTTGCTCATGGTGATGGCCGTGGCAATCTGGATGTCCAGCGCTATGAGGATGATGAGGGTGGTGGTGATGATGATTATCTCGATGTTGATGATGATGACGAGCAGGATGATGAGGATGAGGATGAGGATGAGGATGAGGATGAGGAGGATGATGATGATGACGGCAAGGATGAGGATCATGACGGTAACGATGACGACGATGATGATGACGAAGATGATGAGATAGCTGAATGTTAAAGTTGTGCCATCGAGATGCGGCTTGTGATTCGTGTGCGTTTTGTGCGAGTCCAGCCCCCAGGCTTTGTCCCTCACACCGCAAACGGCCCGATGAACAAGAACGCACGAAGCATCTCACTGTGTAGGCATTCGCAAGACTCAAAGCAGGTGGGCCTGGGGACCCTCTGCTGGGCAGCCGCTCATCCCACGGGAGCGTGCAGTCAGCCAGGCCGAGCGTCAAGGGCATGAGTCGCTTGAGAGTTTCACAAAACCTTCGGAACTGGTCCTGTTGGGTGATATCTCATAAAGAGCTTTCTGCGGCAAGCTCTCAGCGAAGTGTACAGGTTTGGTCAGTGTCTTTGAGCTCGTCCATTCACCGGAGTATAGTCGGAGGGCCAGGCTCACAACGCCAAACCTAGCCAGTCAGAGATCTGAAGTGTTTGTCGCGGCATGCCAAGTGGCACCGAATCCTTTTGCATCCCTTATGCCTGCTACCGGACAGCCAGTATCTAGCAGTAGCAGTGCAGCCCTTGAAACAGTCCCCTGCCACTTCCATGTCAGGCCCGTCCTGCAGCCTGCCATCTACGGGTCCAGCTTCGCAGAAGCAAGCAGCGAGTTTCCGCGGGTCCAAAAGATCGCAATCATCAGATTCCGAGCTGTGAACCCCGTAAAGCCTCCGCAGGCCAAACAATAGCACAGCAATTGCAACGAGCAACCACAACAGCAGAACACTCAGACTTCAGAATAACAAAGTTGATAGCAATCGTTTCCATGAAGAGAACCAATGCCATGCAGTGCGCATGGGGCAGCTGCAGTATCGCTTGAGTCTTCTAAGTAATCAGCGCCAAGGCACTGCAACTGTAAACATGAAGACCGCGTTGCTTTAGATGCTTACACGGGTGGCCGGGATGGTGGATGAAGCTGCTGAGGTCGATACCAGCCGGCACCTTTGAAGCCGTCGGCACGACCCCAGGTGGTCCAGGTTCCTGGGCTTCACCGCATGAGGGCTCAGCCCGTCTGTAGACTTTTGGTTGCGGGCCTGTGGCTGCCCCTTTGAGACTGCGGCCTCGCAGCACCTTCACGGTTTCGGGTCAGGCTCAGGCGATAAGGCATAGGCATCGAATCCCTGCCGTGCTTGCCAGCAGGTCGCTTCAAAACGAAGATGAGACCGCGGCAATGATCGAGACATGATCGTGTTTTTCCAGCTGTGCCGATTTAGGCAAGCAGTCCAAGCATGTGTCACACCTCGATTATGCGACAAACCTAGCATCGACCTCATCTCTTAGCCTATAGGCGTCACTATACAGGCTACGTCGCTACAATCATGTTCTTGGCTGTAAGCCGCTATAATCACTGTATGCCACTAAACGACTTTCTCATGACCCTTGTGAGCTCGCAAGTCGCAGCACATGCCTCTCTTGGGCCTGTTCACCTATTACAGTGCAAAATTTGCACTTCATGTCCTCCGTTTTGGGCACGGAATCAGCATTTATCCTGTGCCGGCATCACAATACACAAATGAGGCATAGACTGCTCTACATTTGGGGTCCCGTGGAGGCTCCGTCAATGCGGTACTGTAGCCAATTCCCATCTGTGGGATGTACCTCCACAGGACCTGAATGCAGAACAATTCCAAAATGAATTTCCCAGCCACCAGTGCATCCGCCGTCCTGCCAAAGTGTCTGTAGTGCACGCCGAAGATTCTGAAATCTAGGGGTCCCCGGTTTGAGGGTCCTTGCAATATGACCTCAGGGTTGTTTTCGTCGAAAAGCGCTACCGAGCCGCAGGTGCTAATGCCTCTGCCAAGCAGATTGTTTTCGCTGAATTAATTGATTTACAAAAAAGGGTGATGCAGACTTTGTCTGCAGTTGCACGGTTGTTTGTAGCAGGTCCTTGCCTTGCGCTGATCTCGCCATGATGGGCACGCACAACTCCCCGGCCAAGATGCGATCAGGTCCAAGCACCATAGTACGTAGTCACTATGACGAATGGTCTGCGTTGTTTAGTGAAAGCCCAACACTGATCCGATTCGTAAGCGGAGAAGCTGCTAAGCTGACACAGGGGTAATCGTCAAACCGACACCTGCGATGCCAAGCCTGAACACACAGCTCTGGAGCCACATAGATTCCAAGTGCCAGAGGGTTCCATTCGCATGCCGGTTTGGTGCCCGTCCTTGTCCGCAAGCATCGAGGCAGCGCGTGGGGAGGACATGAAGCAGGCGTATATACAGAGGATACAAATATTTCGCCTATGACATCAACAAGTGAATGAAACCGGAATGTGGTACTTTGACTTTGACAGATCGGAAGGAATCCAATAGGTTCGGAAGGAGCTGGGAAAAAGCAGCGTCCGTTCTTCAGCTGCGGCCTTGTGATGAGTTCCTTGCGATTCTTAGACATAAGGATCCCTGTTGATGCTTGATGGTCCGTGATCACAAACTGACGTGGAACAGTTTTTGTGGTTACAGCCCTCCGCCTCAAGCCTGAGGTCATGACGGTGACAAGATGTTGAATTTTGGGATTGGGCTGTCGCTCGAGATCGCTGGAGGTCTGCCTGTTTGTCTGTCTGTCTGTCTGTCTGTCTGTCTGTCTGTCTGTCTGTCTGTCTGTCTGTCTGTCTGTCTGTCTGTCTGTCTCTCTCTCTGTCTCCCCCCTCCATGCGTATACATATACCGGCATACATTGCTTACGACTATTTCGCGTTTTTCGCAGGCGCAACTGCATGGCAGCTGGGGCCGCCAGCGAGGCAGTTCAATGTGCACTTGGCATCTGGGGTCGGGGAGGATTGAACCGACCCAGTGTCAATCCATGCTGTGCGCATGCAGTATTGTTCCTTGTTACGTTCTGCAGCATGTTTTGGCCTTGTTATGTCTTGTTCAAGCTGCCCAAATCAGCCGTATCGGATGCTCACGCGACGTCCTAAGATCAGGTGCCGCCGCAACTTCGGCTCGAGATGTATCGCGGCTGTCGCTTCACTTTAGGGCTACGAAGACCGAGCCCCAG